TCACAATTTTTAATATTTAAAAATCTAATTATTTACTTAAGAAACATAAATTAGCTTTTAGGAAGAAATAACTATGAAATTGTTAACGAAAAACAGTAAGTAACTTTTCAAACATAATGAAAACTGAAATACAAATTCCGAACAATTTAAAGAAATTTTCAGGTCTATTATATTAACAATTAAATTTCTCTCCTGTGGAGCGTGGGCCCCACTTTGAGAACACTGCTTTAATATATATATAGTAGTTTTGTCGGTCATAGCCACAGCGTTTTAGGCAGTCCACTGGGCAAAGATCGACTTCTAACAGGTTTAACGCGCCGTGTCGAACTTTTTGCTCTTCGATAATCGTTTTGTTATTGATTCAACAGCGCTATAGTTTACATGGCTCAGGAGTTCAGGTACTTAATTTAATTCGATGTCGTCCATGAATATAGCATAAACAATGTTGCGTAAAAATATTAATTCCTGGGATTTGATTCAATTGAAAAATTAGGTACACAAATGGAAAAATGCCTCTGCCCACCTTAAACCACCTGTAATTTACCTATTTTTAAACGAATTCAAAAATGGAATTTGTTTTATCAATCTTTATATTTAACATCAAATAATATTTATTAAGAAAAACACTTGGTATCATATAAACGCAGATTATTGTTACATTTAAATAGGATATTAATTTGTTTGCGCCGTCCGGCCTCTCCCGCAGAGGAAACTAATAATACAGCTTACGGAAAATATATTTCAGAACTTATTTTTGTTGTTTATGGAAAATATATTTTACATACAATTATTATTTTCTATTTCATTTAGATTACGGTGGGACGATGCCATTTATGGCTTAGTTTTGTTTATGTTATTGGTTATTCTCACTTTCTTTTGTATAATAAGTATAATATTTTTAGGTATTAGGTACGCCTAAAGGAACCGTTCCTACCGAAACTTTTTTTTAAACCAGTTCGAAGCGAGGACTTAACGCCTTGTTATTATATGTATTCATTATTATCACAACAACAGTATATAATAGGTATACAAACAATATTTACTTTAAAATATGTTTATCAGTTCCATGCACACATTTATTGAGTTTTATCATTAAATTATTCAGTTTAATTCTAAAACACAAATATAAAGTTTGTTAAACTTACTTCCTCTCCCGAAAATAATTTCCAACTTATTGGGCACTTCGAAGCGTATTTTCATATCACTGGCCGGTCATTCACAACCGTTATTTCAAAAAAACTATTCCAAATTTAAACGGAATTTGACACACGCAATGGCGCGCATCGGTAACACTGCGATGACAACACAACGCGGACTGGCGCGTAGCGCGGTTTTGGCCTCGCGTCTCCCGCCGCGTCGCCCTAATTTACTATGCGGCTGTGATGTAATCTTTGTCAACTGTCAATCAACTGATAAGCGATAACTGTCATAGCAACGGCGTCAACATTCTTATAATAACCTTCTCTATCGGCATCTTATTAATACTAATTAGCTTTCTACATTTTCTCATTGTCGTTGATTGCTTAACATGATTGATTTGCAGTTTTAAACTTTTTAGTGTTAAATGATGAGTGATAATTGTTACTATGCTAACATCATGCTTATTTTTTTGCATTTGTTGAAAATTTGTAATAGTATAGGTACGCGTTGTGGGACTTAAAACTTGCGTGCTTGCAAATCGGTAATAAGCATTTTACCTACATACAACCATTAATCAAATTACCTTCGTTCGTGTAATCGGACTGTTTATATTAATATTATTTTTATTCTGAAAACAAACTCCTGAATAAACGAGAGAAGACAATAATAATAATTCAATAGTACCTACCTACACGAATGGAAATTTGTGTTTACCTTATTTATTACATTATTAAAAATAATTACTTATATATATATTATCTCTAAATAACTACTCCTGAATAAACGAGAGAAGACAATAATAATAATTCAAAAGTACCTACCTACACGAATGGAAATTTGTGTTTACCTTATTTATTACATTATTAAAAATAATTACTTATATATATATTATCTCTAAATAACTACACTTACTTTAATATGACTTTTTTTCAACTCGTCTATGTTTGCAAAACAGAAAAGGTTTCAATTAGGTCTAATGCCGTAAGTATGTATAAAAAACAAACGCGTCGAATTGTATTTAGTCCATTGAAATGTTACATTTTTTAGGCCTTACCTTGCGTTTTTTAGAGGACGCAATTTTATTTTTTTGATGTGTAGAGGGGGTCAGTGTAAAGCTAAAAACAAGTTTGTGGGGTCGCCACCCTTGTCCCACGGCCGCCATCTTGGAAAAAGGGGTCCTAAAACCACGTTTTTGGCTATATCTCCTAAACTATCCATCGTACATAAAACTTGTAAAGACACATTTTGTAGCAAATCGCTGTGCCTACAATTATGTCTATGTAACTTTTTATCATAAATCCAAAATTCAAAAAGTTATAAGTAAAAAAGTGAAAACATTTCCTATTTCTAAAGTTGACTAGGTGCGTCAATGCTCATGACAAGCCGATCAAGACAGCAGTTTTACCTTACTTTTAAGATCTCTCGTTTATTTTAAACAAATTTTCCAAATATTTTTTTTTTATTTTTTATATTCCTACAATTTTACTTATTGGTATTCCTAGTAGGCCTATTCCACAGACAACTTGCTGATATGGTCATCTTCGACATAATTATATTATCAATCAGTTATTAGAATGGTAGCTAGCTATCACTTTTTTATTTATAACTTTTTGAATTTTGGATTTATGATAAAAAGTTACATAGACATAATCGTAGACACAGCGATTTGCTACAAAATGTGTCTTTACAAGTTTTATGTACGATGGATAGTTTAGGAGATATAGCCAAAAACGTAGTTTTTGGACCCCTTTATCCAAGATGGCGGCGGGGGGACAAGCACGGCAACCCCACAAACTTGGAGTTAAGCTTGTATTGACCCCCCCTACATGTTCCATAAATAAAATTGCGTCCTCTAAAAAACGCAACCCCAAATGTAACTTTTCAATGGACTAATTGCAAAAACTGCCTTAAAAAACGCTCATTTGTGGAACGACGGAAGGACGAGGTGATACGAAATATCGCATCTAATCGGAGCATTATTCTATTAAATTTTAATAAATATATGTTATACAACGTTCCCTATTGGGTAGCTTTTCAATTTAATTAATTAAATTTAGCATCATGTTCGCAAACAAATGAAGCCGTGAATCACGTTATTTTTGGATAGTGCTCTCAATAATAGTGATAAACATCCTATTTCCGGTGAAAGTGTTTTATTTAACAAGAACCAGTAATACTATCTAGGGCACATATTTATACTAAATTGTTTACTCAAACTCAAAATAGCTTACTTTTCAATGTCAACAGAAAATATGTTAAATCGATTCTAAATTTACATTTACTACCAGTTCGCAAGGGCGTAGAGCGGGCAAGAAACTCTTCGCCACTCTTTTTAATAAGTTTTGAGTCATACAAATTGCTTGAACTGAAGAAAATCAATCCCAATGAAGGATCATTTAAATAATCGTCAAATTTATAAAAAGCTTTATTGATTAATTTACGGTTAACGAGTTTTGAATTTATTCAGAGATAATTATCTAATTGCGCTCGGGAGTTTGTTGTAAAAATGAGTACTATTTCCATATAAGGGGTATTATTTAGTTTTATTAATGAGCAGGGTTGGCTTGGTGGTTTCAAAGTGTGACTCTCAACCCTGGGTTTGTACGTTCAATTAACTCCCTAGCCTCTTTACTAAAGCGCCGTTTAACTATTGGCCTGAAAGATATTCAGCCGTAGCGTTTGTAACAACATTTAATAAACTAGCTGGCTAATGCTTAGGCCATTAGTACGATAGAGTGACCATGTGGCAGAAATAAAAGAGATGAAACATATGACATAAAAATTTCTTTAAAAATTAAATTGTTTGAGTCAGTCATTGCAATTCACATTATTATTGTCACTACACTCTTATACTTGTTGTTTTTCATTAAACTTTAGAAAATACCATCAAAAGTTGTTGTTAGCCGATGGAAGTAAGTGTTTCGTTTCGAGTTAGAGAGTGGCAGAAAGTGGAACTAAATTAAAATTAACAGTCAACAGGCTATAAGTAATGAAACGTCATCGATCCAAATCATTTGCCTAGCTGTTTGATCAACTGGCTGAATATCTTTCAGGCCGCTAGTTAAACGGCGCTGTTTAGTTAAGAAGCTAAGCTGATTCAATGGCTAATTAAGCTTGTTTACTGCGACATCGCTATTGGAAGCTACAGTGCAATAGCACAGGTCCTTATTTATTTATTATATATTTATTATCCTATTATAATTATAACGCCAGATTCCAGATTTATTCTAAATCATTCAATCTCTGTAAACTCACAATCCCTTGATGACGATCTAATAATTAACTAACTTAAATTTTGTTAAGGTGATATATAATGTGAAATATTTAAATTAACAAAAAATTGTCTAAATAATACTTGTAATAAAAAGAACAACGAACTCTGCTAAGATTTACGTTGAATTTTAAATTCAGTTTATACGAATTAAGATGCAAAAAATCTTATCGCTTCAGACATTCCAAGAAAATTAGTTTCAGTTTCTGATGTGTGAAAACAATAATTAAGACGTTGTAATAGTCTTACTTATAAAACTAAATTAGTCTAAGCTGTTTAAACTAAAGTACCTTCCTACTCATAAAGGGGTAATAGTCAAGATATTACCTAAAACCTAGACTAACATTTATATATACGTAGATTATACTTTTAACCCTTAATTGGGCGCGCCTACAAAGTTGCATAAGCGGTCGCGTGGGGTGCTTAGCACCCCAGAATTAGGAAATAAAATAAAATACGAAATACATGCAAAATCACACTTGTATTAATTAGAACATTTTAACTTACATATTAATCAACTTTTAAACATATTTTTAATATAATCAACTTATTTTTTGAATATGAAAAATATTTTTTACAAATCCTAGTATTAATCGTTGCAATTTTTACAGACTATATTCATATGGTCATTGCTACACATGTTTATGGCATTTAAAACATTCAGTCTTTGTTTTCCTGTCCTTACTTCTTGGACATACATGGCACCTTTTGTATGATTGCGATCGGCCTGCTTCAGAAATAGATTCTTGGTCCTGAATTTCATGTTGTCTTTTTAGTCGTTTTTGCAGCGGTCGTGGTAGTGTGGGTATGCTGGCTCTTGATATTTGGTGAGGTTTGACTAAATCAACAGCCAGTAGCTTTATAAATAGTCTTCGGGATATATTGGAGTCAATTTTAGATTTGTATATTACATAGGAATTGATACCTGTGATATTGAAAATATGAAAAAATATCACCATCGGCCATCTTTTGGTACGTCTTCCTACATTATAAGTGGCGCACATTTGGTCGTTCGTATCAACTCCCCCTTTCGTTTTATTATAAAAATGAATAATTTCGGGCTTTCTTTTCTCACCCTCAACATTATCATCGTGATGCATTGTCGATAAAAGCAGAACTGCTTTTCTTGGTTTCGGCACATATGAGCACAAAGTCATATCTTTTTGGAAACCAAATATGCTAGAAGTCGTCTCTCGTTTTTTTTCCGGTAAGAAACACTTTGGTATTTCGGGCTTGTTTTTTCTCAGTGTGCCCACCATGGTAAGCGTATGTTCATCTAAAAGCGATTTGGCCAGTGGGACACTAGTGAACCAGTTGTCCATGGTAACATTTCTTCCAGTCCCGGAAATAGGTTCTATCAATCGTTTTACTAGACTTTTGGTATCAGAGGGTAGTTTGAATGTTGTCCATCAGGTTGCACATAAAATTAACAACTATTTACTTACTCGGAATTTAGACCACACAAACAGTCACCTGGGGTGTCGTGCACCCCAAACACACTCTCCGAGCCCAACCGTCCACAACCGAGCGCCGCTCGCAACTGAATCATGTACGTTTTAAGTGTTTACGAAGGTACCTAGAAGAGCAGCGCGCTAAATTCAAATTTTAAAAAGTTGTGCGCCTGGGAACGCGCTCTGGGGTGTATGACACCCCACGCGACCAATTAAGGGTTAAGTGTATTAAATTAAAATAATTAAACCAGCTGCCCACTAGTATCTCAACCAATTCGACTAAGATTTAAGATAAAAGCATATTAATAACTTTTTTTTTTCTTTTTTTACAAAATAATATAATACAATCACAATATGTTACATTAGAAAACCGCTGTGGTTTGTATTAATGTAACCATAGCAGTCTTGTTTAGGAGCGCGACAAATGCATATAAAAGTAGTTTTTTTAATTTAATGTTTATGTTGGTTGGCGTTAGGCAATCTAATAACTGATTGGGTAGACCATTTATTATCCGCGGTAGCAAATACCTCAACGTTCTCTCGCCATATACGTTGTGGGCTCTCGATGTACAGAGCCGAACTTGCGTTACCGCTCGAGTCTGTACGTCATGCTCCACTCGATTTTTTATGTCATCACGAAAAAAGTGCTCGACTAGAAGACATTTATTTACTTTTTCTGTTATGGGCAGTATTTTGCAGTTCTCGTTTGTTTGTATCTAAAAAAACCGGCATGGCACTTGCGAGCCTTCTGGCAGTGTAAGTGTCCATGGCGAGCCTCCGCCTTCTATTAATAAAGATATTGAACATTTTAAGTTCTATGGGTAAGGCATTACAAGGTATGGTCCCTATTGCTTTTAAGGGGAGGGTGATTAAATTTTTAAAGGCAAGGTGCCTCTATAGCGTCGGAGAGCTATCTTGCCCATAAGACCATTTACCTCTATATTTAGACCATAAGTTTGACAACAATTATAAATAACTTATTATTATGACATTATGATAAATAATGACATTTGCATGCCTATTTTTTCATCCTATATCAAACTATAAAATTACAGTTAAACAATTTTTAAGACACAATAGGGTTTTCCTAATAATTTCTTCAATTTTACTTTTCTATAATGTTTTCTTCAGTATTCTCAAATTCATTGAATACTAGTTTTGAACTGCGTAATAATTTCTGTTGGTCTTTTTGATATTGCGTGTAAATAAATCTATATATATATATATATATATAATATAAGAAAAATGGTCTTCGTTTGAGGCTCCTTTACGCCTAAACCACTTATCGTATCGACATGAAATTTTTCCTAGATGGTTTATGGCTATTAATTTTTTAAATTCCAACATTCCTTCATTTTTTTATTGCTGTTTTACTTTTATGAAAATTTATACATACGGACTTCACCGCGGAAACATTCAGGGAGGCTTCCTAGAACTTCAAACCGTCAACATCTGTTAAAAACTCGATTATCAATTTTCTTAGCGGGAAGTTAAAAAGAAGAATAACAAAAATATAAAAAATAATAATAATAAAACATGAAATTTTATTTATTTCCTATTTTAATTCGCCCAGCGAAGCGGGCGGGAAACGGCTAGTACAATATAATATATTATAACAAATATCCTATCGGACCTAGATAACTCGATACCCACGTTAACCGCAAAGTATTAAATTTTTCTCGTCAGCATGATCGAGATTCTATATGTAGTTGAATTAGGGTACGTGTTTGTTATATCTATCTTTTATGACCTTCCTTTAAGACGTTTTGATATTAAAAAGAATAAAGTTATGGATTACGCTCCCGACGATTAGCTACCTCTCTCAACCTCTTTTACCTTTAACCTGTCTCAATCCATAATCTACCATCTGAGATAGTAATCTTGATCCAAAAGTTGTAACAAGTGTGCCAATAACCAATCGACGGATTGAAATAGCCATCTGTCGATAAAAGCTATCCAAGGGAGGTCGTATCGGTGTCTGTTGATAGACCTTTGTATGAAAATGACAGTTGACGAAAGTCCGATTTCTACAGTTAATTATTTAAACAGATTTTAACTAACAACAGTTTTTTTAAATAATTAAAAAAACTGTTTGTTATGTTTAAACATACACATGTATATTTTTATGTTATTTGTACGGTTTTATTTACTTTATTTGGTTTACATTGATTATCAAATATGAGTGAAAACTCGGTAAATTGGAACGACAAAGAGCATTTTATCCGTCGCCAAAAATGTATTGTCTTCGTAGGGTTTGATTATTGGGATGCAGATAGGAGATCAATCGACTATCACGGTCTGATCGCAGATTGCTTTCAATCTGAGATTGTGGATTGATTATTAGGTTCGGGCGTTAAAAGTCTTCTACATAAACACTTCTTAACCATATCCTGCTCAATCGTGACAAAAAAATACATGAATTTTGTAATTCATGTACTTTCTTATTCATTAATATAAGCGTTTAGTTTATTTTAGATTAATTTTGGTAATTGTATAATTTTTATTGATTTGGTTATATATTCACTTTACTCTCAGTATTTCATTTATATTTTTTTCTTTACTAGGGTTGTCTGGAAGAGATCGCTTGTTGGCAATATATCCGCCCGTTGCATTCCTAATAATTTTATTACTAATTTGTATGTATGTTTTATTTGTAATGTAACGAAGTTTTAATAAATAAATATTAGAATCGTAAAACTACAACTCAAAACATCACACAAGCTATATAAGTTTAAAATCGTAAGATTAATAACATATTTTACTCATTTTTGCTTTCATTAGTCTTTATTTAATAGTAAATTGAATTCATCTTGTTAGAGAATATCTATATTATACAAAACCGGACTGACGTTTGTCGGGGTGGGGATAGGACCATAGACAATAAAAGTAAATAATTTTTTTTCTTTGGTATGACTCTAAGGTCTCGTATGTTAAAACCGTAATGGACTGCCCTCCTCGACTATACTAATTCTCTACGCCACTAGATTATTTTTTTAGAACAAACTTGCACTGTACTTTATTTAATTTTTAAATTATTAAATCACCCTATGTGATATCATTGAGCAAAGCTACCGTATTAAATTTAAACACGTGATAGACTTGATTCGTATTGTTTTATTATACTAAGAAATATTATTTCCTGTGTCCAATGTCATTGTTCGCCATAACCATTGATACATCCTTTGAGGATAGTAACTGCCTATTTATTAGAGACCAAATACGTTTAAGGTTCACTTTAGATCATCTATCTACGAATTAAAAAGTTAAGTTTATTTTTTTGAAGTACAGTCAAAACCGTTTATAACGACATCGTTTACAACGACCTATCGGTTATTACAACCAGATTGAATGGTCCCGTCCGAAATCCGAATCCCTACTAAACTATTCAGTAAGCAAACCGCTTATAACAACATCGGATACAGCGACATATCGCTTACAACGACGAAATTTTATCGATATTCATCGACTATAACGACCAACCGCTTCTTGTCTCAGCAAAACAAAACAATACAAACGATTTTAAATCTTATTTATAAGCATTGAATGAATATTTAAGCATATTTATTACCTACCTACTTTCTCCCACCTCAGCACCCCAAAAAATATTTGAGACTGCGCCAAAAAAAAGCAGACCAAAATGACTGATTACTTTAGTACCTAATTATTTCGTAATAAATATTTTTGTTTCTTTTTTGACTCCTTTACATATTATAATATTAACATACCATATTATAACCCATACCTACCTATTCTAGATAGATAACTATGATAATATAACGATGTACATACATATGTACTGTACTTGTGTATATGACATTGCTTATAACGACTATCGGATATAACGTCGGCAACTATACGGTCCCTTCAATGTCGTTATAAACGGTTTTGACTGTATTTATTTAGCTTTATTAAAAATAAAAGTAGTATTTATAAAAATTTATGAGTAAGGGTGTTATCATTATAAGCAATCTTCTTCACAAAGCAATCAGTTATATTTTGTGTATTATGTAAGTATATTATATCTACGTACAGGTATTTAGGTCCTGTATCTTTATACTATACTAATTAAACATTATGTTTGCGCCGTTCGCACTATTTATCACACATCTGTACTAATCTGTATAAAACCTTTATTTTCTTATTTTTTATGTCTGGCCTTGTATTGCCTAAAAATAAATAAAATATTTTGTGTATGTTAGTTAACCCGACGCAAAAACAGAGTTTTATAAGTTCGACGAGTGTTTGTTCGTGGTATCGTTGCTCCTAAACGTAAGGGCCGATATGACGTTGATTTTTAGAAAGCTAATTTATGGATTTCCGGTTCAAGGGCATCAGCTTGAAGGTTGTTGGGTTACTCACATTTTTTAAATTTCATATGTTATCAATATAGTTAGATGAAGTTACATAATTTATCTAAACAACTAGGAACTTATATCATGACATCTAGTGAAGATTATTGCGATTCCGAAACTCATAAAACGCAATTTTTTTCTTATACTCCATGAACTGTTCCACAGACAACGCTTAATTGCAGACTAAACAGAAAATAATTGTAGGTATTTTTATCTATAGCATGTACTAACCTAGTACTTAGTACTTAAGACAGTGAAAGTAACAAACATAACTATGTGTCTTGAAAATAAACATTTAATGGGGCCTATATTGTTTTATTATATATATTTTACAATGCTGAAAGTTTAGTCATACTTCAAGCAGATCCTGATGATTTAAAATGATTTTTATGTGTAATGTTGGCACCCTTCCTTCGCAATTTTTATTGGTTTGATGGATTGTAATAGGGTGTCAGACGTTTTGATTAATCGTGAGAATTAATTCGAAAGTGTTGATTTCCGGTCAGTTTGCTTTCTTAT